GAAGCTAAGCACAGCCTTCTTTATTAATTAAACACTGCATTGGGGCTAAGCAAAGTGACGTCAGCTGAATTTCCCACTTCTATTTTTGGCCTTGTTTTATCTTTACAGTGTGTTTGGCGATCAGTATTGTAATTCCCTGAGATTCCGTCTCCTGTTGTTTCACCCATCTCTCTTTCTCTCTCTGTCTCACCCTTACCATCTCAGCCTTCTACACCACCTTCCACCACCTCCTCTCCCCACTCCTTTCTGTAATTGGAAAACCAGAAATAAAACAATTCCACTGATGCCCTGATCTATTTGTGTGTGTGTGGGTAACCTGCTCTAATTTCCACCGGTGGTGGGTTGGGATCCCCTGGACTTTTTTCTTCAGAAATGACCTTGGCTCTCAGGTCACCAGCCTTAAGTGTAAGAAATTGAACTATTGTTGTCACAGCAGATAGGACAAGCATGGGGCAGTAGGGGTTAGCACTGTTGTTTATGGACCACAGCCACATTCTCATTGGAAGAGGGTAGGAACTGGAAAAGTGGCCTCACTTAGAGATTTCCTAATTCTGTTTTTGGTGCTCAGTGTTCTTATCGCCACCCCCCCCCTCCCCACACACAACCGTGTCTTACCTCTCTTCTCTCACCCCTTCTCTTTCCTTTGATCTTCCACTATTCTCCTTTCTCTCTCCATTCTTCCTTTCCTTGCTCTTTTCTCTCTTGCTTTTTCTCCTGTCTCATCTCTTCTTTGTCTCCTCTCCATCCTGTCTTTTCATTTTCTCTAGATTTCCTTACCCTCTCCCCTCTTTCATTCCCCCCCCCCCCCCATTTTTTTCCCTGGTTCATCTACATACGTTTTTTGCCCCATAACTATCTTTTCCTAGTGATTGTGTCCACTACACTTGAAATTGGGGGGGGGGGGGGGGGGGGGGGGGAGGGGGGGGGGGTTCAGCAGGAGGCTGTTTTTTTTTTTCTTTGATGTATCTTGTCTCCCTTCCTGCCCCTCTCTCTTATATATTTGTTTTGTCCACTGTCTTCCTACCCAACTCTCTCTCTCTCTCTCTCTCTCTCTCTCTCTCTCTCTCTCTCTCTCTCTGTCTCTCTTGCTTTATCTCTGTTTGCCTCCCTTCATCACTTCCTCTTTGTATACCTCCCTCCCATTCTCCTGCTTTGCCTTTTTTTCTCTTTCTTTGGTTCTCTCCCTCTGTCTGCTTGCCTCTCTATGCTGTCCCTCTGTCTCTCTCTCCTTTATGTCTACAATTCTCTCTGCTTGCATCTGCTTCTCTCCCTGTCCGTTCTCTCTCTCTCTCTCCCTCTGTCTCCCTTCCTTCAACTATCTTTGTCATATTTTCCTCCTTCCATATCTCTGTTTCGTTCCCTTCTTCCTTCTCTCTTCATCTGCCCATCTCTGTATCTGCATTCCCTCTTTCTGTATTTGTCTCTCTCTCTGTCTTTAGCTGTCCCATATATATATATATATATATATATATATATATATAATATATATATATATATATATATTTATAAATATAATATATATATAAATAGAGCTGTCCCTTATATATATATATATATATAGAGAGAGAGAAAGAGAGAGAGAGCATGTATGGTGAAAAAGAAAGTCGCCCCCATGAGGATTTAACCATTGACCACTGGTTCTCATGTTTACTTGGACCGACTTTCTATCAGTAATATCCACACACACACACACTTGCCAGCTAGGGCAAGTAGTCCTGCACTCCAGTTTCATAATACCCGACACTGAGTCCAGCCTCATTAGATATGCACTAGAAAAATTGTCTGGTGGGTAGAGCAGCTATTATGATACTGATCACATGATCCATCAAGAGCTGTTTGATGTAAAAAATAAGAGTATACTCATTATCATCACCATCACTCGGCAGGTTCTTTACGGAACATCATTCTCATCATGGCATGCCTGAAAGTTTTGCCTGTCTGTCTGTAGCTATTTCATTGAGCCCATGTGCTTTCATAGCTAATGCTTCTTCATTGTCTTGTCCCCACCTTTGTTTTTCTGGAAGCTGTACCCTCCATCATCAAAGTTTCAAGGCCACCATGTCATATATACTCAAGTAGTTTGCAGTTTCTTTCTGTGAGGCCAGTGCTTGTTACGGGTGGGTTGTCTCATCAATTGTGCCTATGGTGGCATCCTCTGCTCAGTGCAGGTAGAGCTGTAATCACCTTTGAAAAATGCAGCTCTTTTCTCCAACCCATGACTTCACATAACCCTGACTGGGGTTGTTTGATCAGCTGCTCCACCCCTACTTATGAGGTACTGCAGGCTAGCCACAGGAACAAGGTGCCTTGCATGTTGTTAGTAAAGTTGACGCCAGTTTAAAAAAAAACAAATAAAGAAAAAAATAATATATATAATAAAGAGCATGCATTATGGAACCTAAATAAAGACATACTGTATATTTTCTTTTAAATGTATCCTGAAAAACAGGGGCATCTACTTTGTATGTGACAGACAGTCAACAGACAAGTTCATCAGTCATGTTCAACACGAGTGGTAAGTTTTTATGGTGTTTTGTCACTTTTATTGAAATCAAATAGAGTAATTTGTTATCTTTTATTTTTGTTTCCTTTCCAGAACTTTAGTTAGTTAATCTTGTTGATGAAATACTAAAGATATGGTGATGTCTAGCTTTATTTAGTGAGTTTAATCTTTTTTGATGAAATACTAAAGATGTGATATTCAGCTTGTTGGGTTATTCTTAGTTGATTTAATACTAAAGATATGGTGATATCTAGCTTTAGTGAGTTTAATCATTTTGATGAAATACTAAAGATGGGATATTTAGCTTTAGTGAGTTTAATCTTACTAATTTAATATTAAAGTTGTGGTGGTATCCTTATTTGGATCTCCATGGAGAAGTGGCACATATGGTTACCCCACAGTGGAATTGGAGAGTTTGTTTTCAAACGGTCTTGTGGATGTAGAGTTAAATTATTTTTGGGTTCAGATCCCAGTAGTGGCAACATTTGATTGTTTCTAACCAGTCATGAGTCAGCCAACCTTTTAAATTATTGATAATAGTAATGACTGTTCCATTGCACATATAAAGTCAGTCCTCGCCAGTAGAGTCACAGCATCATGACCATTTAGCAGCTTCTTTGCTGAAGGTCGCTCTCATCATGGTCTGCCTAAAATAAACCATGGTTTTATGAAATCTGTGAAGTTATGGTATCAGCTTCTTTGAAGTGTTGAGTGTTTTTTCAGCCAGTACTCTAATATTAAATATTTGTTATTTTTGGTGTAAAATCAGCATGTAAGACTATATGATTTCAGGTTGATTCTTTTCAGCAGGCATAGAAATGTATATGCAAGTTAGATGATGATATTTCTGAGGATATCATTCAAAATTAGCTTGCGGGAAGGCATTTTACTATACAGTAGTGTTAATTACAATTTTTCAGGATGAGGTTATGTGGTGGTGTGAAGGAGTCTGAGGTTGACAGAGCAAAGAATCTTCTTATGACCAACATGCTGCTGCAGCTTGATGGATCAACACCCATTTGTGAAGATATTGGCAGGTAAGACTTGAAGATAGCTCTGTGTCCCCGGGCATTTCATTAGTGTTACAGCATTGGTGGTAAGTCCTCTGGGAAGGAAGCATGATTCTTGTCTGATGCATTGAATAACATTTCATCTTGAGCTGAGAAGCATCAATCAAAATGAGGGTGGTGTAGAAACTGTCCATTGAACTAGTACCATCAAATCACTTCCATGGGGACTGTGTTGCAGAGCTCTTCTTTGCCTCTTCAAGCTCATAAAGTAGTAAAGTAGGCAAAATTGATACGGGAACTTCACATGTGTAGAGAGGCAAATGAGGATCCGACCAGGCCATAATTCAGGGCAGCACAAATAGACTAGCCTAGGTTAGTATTACCTCCACAGGTTTTAGGTATTTTATTGTCACCAAACAATGTTTTCTGTGCATAATACAAATACATTACAGCATACATATCCCCACATAGGTTTTTTCTGGGGGGAGGGAGTATACCAACTACCCACCCAACCAACATGCTGTAAAAGGTGAGTAGTTAGAGTTTGTCCCCCCCCCCCCTCAATTAAAAAAAATAATTTCAGGGTGCATCTGTAAAATGACTGCACCCAAAACTGAAGTTGACAAACATCTAGAACTTTCCACTGGAGTTTACAGCTGGTGAGTTGCTGAAATATCTGTGGTCGGCTAATATCACAACATAGCTGTCAACCACACCACAATGTGGCATTTGCTTTTTAAGGATGAACATAAGTAAATAAACAAGTAAAAACCCTTTTCCATTCCTTCAGATGTATTGGGCATATATATGAGCTAGACCTTAATTTTATAGACCAGTCTGCTCTCGGTGAGTGATGTGGTCAGCATCGTGCCACCTTTACTTCCCAGGATTGTACATGGTACCTGTTTAAGGCTGGGGCGACCTGGGAGCCAAGGTCTTTTTCAGAAAAAGATGTTTCCATCAGGACCTGAACCTATAACCATCCAATCCACAGGCAAGCATCTAGCCGCTACACCCCAGCAGCCCCCAAAGTAGAAGATTTGTCTGATTATTTTTGATGCACATTTGTTGCCTTGTCACATTAAAAAAAAAAACATTAAGATCAAGTCTTCCGGTCCACGATGCTGAAATATTTTTTGCTTCTGGCCTTGGTTTGCTAACTCTACCAGACTGCTATGCTGCTTTTCCAGTAATTTCCTAATCTGCATTTAACGGCTGTACCTAATTTTATATACTTTGCGTGCTTCGTGAAAAAATGCGTCACAAGCTAAAAATAACCAACTAATCGTTGTCAAACCTCGTGGTTATTCATTTTAAATGGCGTCGTTTAACTTGAAAAAAGTTATGAAAATTCACAATGAAACGAGCGGCTGATGTACCAAGCACTTCAACAGGAAAGTGAAGTAGGTCTAGGCTTTTCACAGACCAACAGGTGATCGATATTTTGGTTGATTCAGACTCTGAGAAGTCAGCATTTTATCAAGAATACGTTTCCAGTTTAAGTGATACAGACAGTTAGAGCTAGAGTGATGAGGAGAATCTTCAACCTTATAGGTCTAGAACTGGATCGATAGTAAAAGAAGAGTAGCCTTTTCCTCAAACAGCAACAACTGGTGCTCACTTTGTGAAACAAGGCTCATCCTGCTGGGCAGATTGGCACACAAAGGTGGAATATTGGTGCTAGATGAAAGGTCAACCTATTTTCTACAGTGTCTCAAAGTTTCCTCTTATTCTAGCCACTTGTTTCTAGCCACTAATATTTTTGTATATCATGTTGGTTTTTTCACATTAATGACCAGGAGTTCAGGTATAGGGAACAGTTAGGTTTAGGGCCTCAGGTCTGGTAGGGCCAATTCATTTTTCCCAATATGTGGTCTGAAAGTACATGGTTCTGGTGCCCAGGTAATGAGTTAGGAATGTGACACAATGGGGCATGTGGGTTTTTGCAGGGTCAGTGTTTATCTAAGTACTGACATCACAGCACTCAGGGCATTCTGATAAGCGCTCTTTCCTCATCTTCAGCAGCCAATGAAGAGTTCCAATTCTGATGATGCCAGTGTCAGTTAGATTATATGTCTGTCTTGCCTTTTCTATGAGTGTAGACCAGATGTCCTGGTCACTCCTAGCTGTGCCATTCTCTGTAGACCATATTGGTTGAGGCATGCCTCCACATTGTTCACCTGCTTCCAGAGATCCTTGACCACATCTTACCTGTCATGGACAAATTCACCACCCAGAGGTGCAGAACTAGCCAGTCTGGCTGCCTGTTCATTTCCCAACACTCCTGCCTACCCTAGTGAAATATCCAAAGAATGCTAACTACCCGGGGCTTATGAAATCATGCTTGTCATGGACACAGGAGCAGAGCAAGTGACCCACTTGCCATGAAGCTGAAGATGTGACTGACAACAGTAAAATATTTAGTTTAAGCCATGTTTCTCCATGTATGAGTTTCTTGGTGCAGTGATATTTTAGTCACAAAATAAATTTTTTTATATTCCTCAGGCAATTGCTGTGTTATGGACGAAGAATTCCAGTAGATGAAATGGAAATTAGGTTAAATGTAAGTAATTTACTTGTCAAAAATTAACTTTGCTGTAACTATGTAATAGACCTATAGTATTTCACACTTTAAGATAAATTGTTAGATTATGTTGAACTTGGAAGACTAACCTGGGCTAAAATTGCTGCAGAAGTCGGATAAAGCAAGCAACGCAGCCGTGTTGTAAACAGGCACAACAAATTTACATCTTCCTATGAGCGCATAAGAACAAGATTATGAGGTGTCTAATGGCATGAAAACTGGGTCTGTAACATTTTTAAAAATGGAACTATAAAACACCACTTTTGAAATGACTTTCTCCACTGAACATTAAACGCAACACATGCCTCACTTATGTTGGAGATATGGCTGAAGTTTTACCAGTTTTTATGCCAAGAGTTTGGTTTCATGGCTTTTTAGATAATGTTTTTTCACCTTGTACAATTTTTTTTAGGTCTTAACAGGTAACAAACAATTGACAGCCAACAAACCACTTCATCCCGCTGGGAGTTTCAGGGTCCCACTCCCTGAACTTGCATTTTTAAAAGGCAACTGATTAGGGGTTTGCTGAAATCAGATTTCTTGGGCTGAAAGATGCACATATCACATCCTAGCTGTAAACCACAACAAAATTTGCCAACAGGCCTTAGATATGTCATTTAAGTGATTTTATGTATTCTTGTTTGCATTTGTAGTGTTGTAGATTTATGTAATGCGCTGATAAAGGCTCTCTAGCTGCAACGTTCCCATGTTGTTTTAGTATTGTGAAGCAGATTGCTTCTACCTTTCATCTGGTTTATGTCTATTTTATGATATTTGCAATGACTCCTTGGCTCTGATCATGCAGCATGCTCTGATACATTGACAGACACTTCAACACAGCCGATACATTGACAGATACTTCAACACAGCAAACTTGAACAGGAACAAATCTTGAGAAACACTGACCAGCTGATAATGACTCAGTTTATTACTCCAGCAATGTTTCTCTAATTAAGAAGAGTTTTGAGAGGACTGAGGTTCTTGAGAAGAATGTTGCGAATGCCTTGGACTGCCAGAATAACTAACAATGATTAGCTAGAAATGGCTAATGAAAGTTGATCACTCCTATATACAACAATGAGAAGGAGAAAAAAGAAACACTTTTTTGGTCATTTGATGAGAAAAGAAGCACCGGAAAATAACGTGACGACTAGAAAGATCGCTTATAGAAGAGGCAGAGGCAGACCAAGAGAGATGATGGTGGACGGCTTAAGACAGTGATATAGAGGAATATCATCAGTGGAATTGATCCAGAACACCAAAGACCGAGATCTGTGGAGATGCATGAATGCCTATGCCAGCTGGCAAGGTACTTGATGATGATGATGATGTTTCTCTCAGTGCACCAGAGGTTTATAGTCTAGGGACCTATCTTCACAGACATTTTCTTATTCTCATCAAATATACAGGATTCTCATCTTATGCTTTAACTTCACTGCTCCCAAATCAGCATTTAGAAACTGCACAGCTCAGTAGATATTCTAGCCTCCAGTTTGTGTTGTCATGGATTGATAAGCCAGGTTTCCTTAGGCTGGTGGCTTGAATACATTCACTCTTTCTTCTCTGGATACATCCAGCACAGGCACTCCCACTGCCACGAGACCAGATTCAAAAGAAGACTGACTAGTCTCATTCACTCAGAGCTTAAATAACTTCTGCTCATTCTCCTGAGGTCAAAAACTCTACTCATGCTTTCCTCATTTGGCATGATTTGGCCAAACCACATGCTTGTCTCGAGTCTGTATCATGTGCTTGATTTATCCACGCATATATTACAATCAAGAATTGATGCCATCCATCGGGATACTTATAAATCATTTATATTTATTATTTGTCCTCATTCCTAAGTAATGAGAATTTATAACAACAAATGAGGAAATGAATCCTTACAATATTAATTGTCTCTTGCAACATGCATGGTAGTTTTTCATTGTCAGGTCAGTTCATTGAATAACTTTATATTTCAGGCCATCACTTCTGAGACTCTGAAAAATGTTTGTACTAAATATATCTACGACAAATGCCCGGCAGTAGTGGGAATTGGTAAGTTATGTTTATCTGCACATTATTTTAAAGAATAGTGCCTAAGAGTGTGATTGCAGTTCTTAAGAGTGTTTTTATACATTATTCAGAGTTGCATTAATGAGGATCATGACTGCAGTTCTTAAGAATTTTGTTTTTATACAGTTATTCAGAGTTGTGATTGCAGTTCTATATATTTTTTTTAGACCTGTCCATTTTTTGATTCTCTAGGTGACACTTGTGCCCATACACAGCATGAACATCATTAGTATTATAATTTCTATATGAAATGTGTGGAGTTAGATGGTACCTTTCCTGTGTGGAAGATGTGCTCATTAGACAAGATACATTTCTTCATGAAATATTTTTATTTGAATGAGGTGGAAATTTGGCATCATGCATGTCTGCATGAAATATTACTACAGTTTATGTGGTGAAGATGGGGCAGTAGAACATCACACATTTCTGCATGAAAAGTGTGGCAGTAAACCATCACAATTAATGTGTAGAACATGCAGATATAACACACTACATACACCCTCAAATAAAGTGTTGAAGTAGATCATTAGGTATGGAGATTTAGCACCTGTGTGTGTTTTCTAAAAACTTGATGCATCATATTGGTTTCTTAAATTTGCCTTGAATAAGCTTTTGTGCACAATAATGCTTGTTATTATATAAGTATTGGAATGAGTAAATAATGAAGCGTTATTCTCATTTAAACAGTTAAAGAATTCCCTATGAACCAAGCTATAAAGTTATTCAAGAATCCACAAAATATTCTGCATGATAGCTTTTGAGACAGAGACAATTTCTGTGTTGCTTTGTTACAGGTGTGAAGAAACTAATGTTTCAAACAAAATTATTTTTAACGCTCAGAAGCAGATAACTAGTCAGCTCAATGTAATACATTCAGTTAAGCCTATAATTCTCCCCCTCCCTCCCCACCCCTCTTGTAAACATTTGTGTACAATTCAGTGTTCATGTTAATCTGTTTGGTCGGTGTTCTCAACATAGTATTGCATCCTTTAATTTCCTGACTAATTTGCTGATTGTCCAAATCCATATCCACACCTCAGAATTGGTGTTGAATCTCATATATACATGAGTTAAAAGTAAATATTTGAATTGCAGTTACTAACCTGTGTGGGAGCAGTGGCTAGATGCATGCCTGTCGGCCTAAAGATCTTGAGTTTGAATCTGTGTCATGTCAGATTTTTTTCTCTCTGGCTTACATTTGACCTAACCTAACATGGGTACCATGAAATCTCCTGGGAAATACAGGTGACTGGCATGATAATGACAACATCACCCATTGAATGCCAAATAGTTTATTCAAATGTTAGTCCAGCACAATGTGCCGGATATGAAAAGAGTGACATGAAATCTCCTGGGAACTAAAGGCGGCTAACATGATACTGGCACATAACCCATAGTGTGTTGATACAAGAATATATGGGTCTAGCACCGTATATCTGATGTATAAAGAAAATGGTAAAAAATTCCCCCCCCCTTTTTTTTTCTTTCCAAAAACCCTGACCCTTCAGATGACTTTTTCAAAATTTTGTTACAGAAAACACCCCCTTATAATTTACTAAAATTCCACCCTAAACAACTATAGGAAGAGAAGCAGAAGACAAGAAGTTTTGGTCAGTTTTTATCCAGAATGTCGAACCCCTAGACCACCGAGCGGATAGGCAAGCATCAAATCCACAACTACTTTATGGCCATCACATTCCTCAAATAATTCATTTTTATTACTCTTTTTAGCACTGTTATTTTTAAGTAAAAGAATTAACACTTAATAAAAACAAAGACGTAATTCCTTTCTCTTGGTTTTGTTGTGACCACAGGAAGCAAAGTGACCTCATAGGAGATTATGATGATGTAAACCATAACAGCACAATTTAACAAAAAATTAGATTTTATTTTTATAAACCCCCATCAACCGTACCCACCATGTCTGCCTCTTATGCAGTTTACAGCCAGTACCAAAGCTGTTGTATTGGTGTAGTATATCTAAAACCGTTTCTGTGTGGGATGAATTTTTCGTTATTTTGAAGCCCTGGTTGTTGCTGGGCGCCCTAATAAAAAAAAAAGTATGGGTTGAATGTGGTGTCTGGGACCTCGCCACGGGTGATCCTCATCCGAATAGTTGTACTTTGTGTCGTCGGGTGTTAATCGCTCAGTGTGATGTCTTGGTGGAGTTGAACAAAACATTCAATTTATAGGTGAAGTGCACTGCCTAAAAAGACTTTGAATAATCAAAAAAAAATATTTTCTCAGGGTGACAGGGTATGACTGATAGTATTTTCATTTGAAATAACTAGCTACTGGCTTCTTCTGAATTTTTTTCATTAACTATATCAAAAAGATCTATTATATATTTGCAGGTCCCGTTGAGGCTCTGACAGATTACAACAAATTGCGGGCTGGCATGTCTTGGTAGAGAACTCAAGTGTCATTCTGTCAAACTGATAGTCTCAGATCTGTTATTTCAATGAATTGCATTCATGCCATGAAACAGAAATTATTTTACCATGAATTTGATTTGTGTATATATAATACATAGGTTTGTTTCCTCCTCTTTGAGCACATTTAAAAAATATTTTGCAAAAATATTGTTAACAAATATTGCATTAAAGAAGTATGTTTTATTGAGGCAATATTAGTTTATTATTTCTTTCTCGCAGTCGGCTCTGTGGCTAAGTCGATGCGAATGCTTCGTAATGCCGGGTTCGATCCCACATGCGGGCCATGCGTTGGTTTCGACAGTGGTATCAAGAAAGCCATCCAGAAGCAATGGCAAATGACTGGACATAAATTTGCCTAGAAAAACCACACAACAGCCAGGGGCTGTTGGGGTTGGTTCTGCAACGTCCTGTAAAGGATACGCAACTAACCTTCTTTCTTGCATACACACATTGTGTATATTTGTTTGCATATATAAATAAATATAGTGGGTCTCAATACACATTCTTCCAAGGACCAAACAAATTTCCCAGAAGAAATAAAAGTATTAATCTGTGCGCATGATGAAAATCCCAGTGGTATACTGTTTATATACTGCCTAATATTTAAAATACATAATACAAACCCTGAAATCAAAATGTAACCTCATTGTAACCTCCTGAGTGTGCCACCTATTAGGATGGCACTGAAAAGGGAGGTGAAGGCTTTTTTTCCCCCCCCCCCTACCCCCCCCCCCCTACCCCCCCCCCCCCCCCCCCCCACTTTCTATTTTTCCCTACTTGGACCTGGCTGGGGCTCATCAGATTTGATTTTTACTAAGAATCTGCCCAAAGAACTTTGCTTCTGCTTTTGCCTCGGGAAGTTTAGGAAATGTGACATTGTCTGGTCATGGCTTGTTTGGGCATTATTAGGATACTTCTCTGCAAAGTCATTGATATCTATTTGTAGCTTTGTCTCTCGAGAGATAAATAAGGATAGCTTGTAATGTCCTGACTAATTATGATTTATGCCAAGTCCATATTCCATACAAAGGTTTTACTGAGCATAATATTTTGATGTAGACAGAATGAATGCCGAGTTCAAAGTGTATGAAAGTGAACATATACCAAGGTACCTATATATATATATATATATATGGGACTGAGCCTCGAGAGGCAGGGGGTAAGAAGTGTTGGTGTTGTGGGTAGTGGGTTCCCCCCCTTACTTCACCCTAGGTCTAGTGAATATCTGTTCACGAAAGGAGCGTCCATTGTGGTGTCAGCCTCTTGACCTAGCAAAACTTCTCTTACCTCAAGACCATTGTGCGTGGCGAAGAGTCACAGCCTCCCCGAGGTAGTCCCGGTAACTGGGGGTGCGAATCCCCAGGCAAAACACAATGGATCTAGAGGAGCAAACCTCGATAATAAACCCGGTGCACCACACCGTACTGCCCCCTGTGGGAGGGAAGGAACCAGAGGTGTGCTGAACAGTCTTAGGAATGGAAACAAGTATGCTAACCCCCCTGAATACCGGAAACTATCGTGAAGGCACAGGGACTCAGGACGTGACGATCCAGTTGCCCCAACTACTCATGCTTAGGCCAAGCTTAGAGACATGAAGAGCTCAGCGAAACCTGCAGGCAATCTGGTGGCGGGGAATGAGAACACTGTGAGCCCCACCTTAGCTACGTGTTAAAGGGAAAGGCAGAAACACAACCCATATTTCCTTTAGAACTGGTACAGGGCATTTCTAGCTGCTGCCCGGGGAGGTAGGTAATCCACAGACACCCCAGCACCACAATGCCATGAATCTACATGGCATTGGGCCAAAGGGCGAAAGCTCATGCGCCGCTGGATCGATAACAACAACAACCTATATATATATATATATATATATATATATATATATATATAATATATATATATATATATATATATATATATATATATATATATATATATATATATAGATATATATATATATATATATATATATATATATATATATATATATATATATATATATATATATATATATATATATATATATATAGATATATATATATATATATATATATATATATATATATATATATATATATATATATATATATATATATATATATATATATATATATAGATATAGATATTGTGTCCATAAAGTCATGGTGCACTTTTGACCGATCACAGGAAAGCAAGAAAAGAAAAGTTATGTGAAATCTGCACCAAATAAAAGAAAAACTCCATGTTTCATAGTATGATGTGCAAGTGTGTGCTGCGAACACAGGTAATGAGGCAACACCATGAAATAGGTTTTTTCCGATTTCCTATGACCGGTCAAAAGTGCACCAAGACTTTACAGACACACAGTGTGTGTGTGTGTGTGTGTAAGTTGTAACCTTTCTGTCTTTCCGTTATATATTATGCTATAGGGGAAGTATTAGAAACAGCCAAGGCTATGGTGAGTGTGATTAGCTAGATTGTCTGATTAAAGAAATGCACACATACACACACAAAATTATAGTGACTAACACACCCAAGATGGTGGGACATTTGTGTTATTATATAAAGACAAGCGCATTCACATTTTAATTAAAGCCATTTTGTAACAGCTGTATAAAACATTCATGGCTATGTATGCATACATCCAGCAGGTAATATTTGCACGACATAACTGTTATAAGGTTTTGGAGGGGAAAAAAGCATCTTTAAAATAAATAATGTACACACAAAAATGTATTGATTACATAAAATATATCATGACTTTCTTTAAGTGGTTCCATGTATGGTGTAGTTGATCATAATTAAGTGAAAGCAAGAAACAGGCTCCTTTTCAAGCCATGGTTCTAATCCATATAGGCCAGTTTTGGTCAGTATCACACTAGCCACCTTTATCTCCTAAGAAATTTCCCGGTAACTCATTTTGGGCTGGTAATCCTGGTCAGTTGAACATTTTTTTAGGTAAATTTAGATTTGAACACCTGACCACTAAACTAACGAGCATGTATGCTGTGCTTACCACTACAGTACTGCAGCTCCTAATTTGTTCATAGAGACAGTTAAAAGTCAACTCACACTGGCAGGAAATATTAAACAGCAGTGACACATTCATGAAATTTTTGTTATTCACTTCCTCTTCTGGGAACCGCCGTGGTGTAGCAGCTAGATGCTCACCTACGGACTGGAAGGTCATGGATTTGGGTCCTGATTTTTCAAAAATGACCCTAGTCGACTCAGCCTTGAGTGGGTACCAGGTACAGTCTTGGGAAGTAAACTTGGTTGGCATAATGCTGACCACACCACCAACAAAGTGCAGATTGGTCTACAAAATATAAGTGTAGCCCTATTTACCCAAAATGCCTGAAGGCGTATAAAAGGGTCCTTTACTTCCTCTTTTATCACTTCAGGTGTCTGATGAGATATAAGGTTCTGCTTTTGGCCGCATGGACCGCAGAGACATTGAACTGTTGTAGAATTACTACTCTGTTATCTTTTCATCATGGTCTACCTCATTCAGTACATCCCTCTCCTCTTTTGGTGTATGCCTTGTATTGTTTAGTGTCACAAGGGATGTATGACAAACTGGATGTTGTGAGGGCCCTTTGGGAGCGAGTGAACAGTGCAGAGGCACAGATAGATCATTGCGGTCAGAGGAAAATGGCACTGCGGGGAGTTACAAGGGGATCTGGCCAACGCTCGACACTCAGGGAAAAGGCGAGACGGATATACAATCAGACAGTTACTGGTACCATCGGAATTTTAACTCTTTGCTTGCTGCTGAAGATGGAGACAGAGCACTTATGGGGGTGTCCAGAGTACTGTGATGTTGATTCTAATTCAACATTCAGTGTCACAAGTCATTTTTTCTAAGTGGGTAAACCATTTTGTCTGCCTTATTTGTATGTAATTTAGTATTATTATGGTGTTCCATTTTCAAAATGGTGGACTGTCATTTCTCTCGGATTATTCTCTTTCGTAATCATGAACTACATGCTACTTTGTGCGCATTTCCAACGCAGGATACTGTGTGTTTTTCATGGGAGCTGCGTGTATTGTGGTTGTGCTGTGTCGGGGCGGGATAATGACCGATAGTTTTGGCAGCTTCGACCACGCTGCCTTCATAATGTTTTGATCGCTGCGGTCCACTTGGGAAGACAGAATCTCATACGCAGGGGACTGCAACTGTCTAGAGAGCAAACTCGATAAAAGCTGTCCCCAGAAATGGAATGTGTCAACCATATATTTGGTGGGGAGGAATCGACACATACGGTTACCTCAATGGTATTATTATATCATCAATGACATTAAAATAGACAATATTCAAGAATCATATTGTCTTACATTATTTTACCTGCTGTCAGTACAGCACAATGTATTTACAATTAAATAAGTTTGGAATTTTCATTTAGGAAAATAATCAACACAGAAAATCAACACAGAAATGTAATATTTTTCAGTGCCAACAACACTAAGTCAAAAATAAAGATATGCTGCCACATTCAATAAATTGGTTACAGAGTTCTACAAAAGCCTACATGTATTTGTGTGCATGAAGAAACCAGTTAGTGAAAATAAAGAGATTTGGCTTTCAGAATAAACATTCACAATAAAAATTAAAATCATTCAAGTTGAATAGAATAAAAACGTTTCTGAAACACAGCCTTAAGAAGAACTGGAAAATAATTTGCAGAACAAAACTATTACACCTATGGAAAAATCAGTTAACAAGCAGAACGACATGGCTTCATAATACCTGAACTCAAAATAGAGAGACAGTTTTATCAGTGGCCCTTCTGTCCCATCACTTGATTTCCCTAATAGTCCTATTTATCTTTTGGAGTCCATAATGTACTTTTATTAGATGTCTCTTCTGTTCCATCATTGGTTGTCTCTTTTACTAACTGTCTCTTCTATCCTATTATTGGAAGTCTCTTCTATTCTGCCATCAAATGTCTCTTCTCTTCGATTACCGGATGACTCTTCTATCCTATAACTGGAT